CTGTGAAGGATTTATCTGCCTGAAATACATAGGTCCATTTTTTTCAACCAGTTTTGGGCAACTACATCCTTCTTCTAGACAAATTCCATATCTTCTGCAGGCCAGTGGGTAATCACATCGATTGAGTTGATTCCCAATGAAATCCTTGACTTCCTTCCAGTTTGATTCTACCCACCCAAAGGACCTCAAGTGCCCATCACAGCCTAACTGTATGAAACTTACTCCGGATCCTGGAAAAAAGAGACCAAAACTTATTTTCGTGAGCTCAACATAAAACTGCCCCGTTTGGCTTCTTGTTGGATACATAAAGAATCGGTAATAGGCTATGGTAGCATCTGATCCTGCAGAAGCTACAAAACCATCATCATCAATTGAAAACGAATATAGACCCTCACTCTAATTTGTGGCTGAAATACTTGCCACTAATTTCTGCCCAGAAACTAGCCTCTGCCCAATAACCAAAGAGTCTGTCGGATGATCAAAAGACTGCCAAACCATCTCATTGTTTCTATCAAACAGCATAAGGTTACCCTGATGAGTTAACTTCATTCCTGAAACAAATTTACCTGTTGTGTTTGTAGACCAAACCAGAGTGCCATAATCATCTTGCAGTGTTAAATCCCCTTGAGAAAGTTGCAATTTTGCCCAAAGTCCAATCGGATTATTTCGATTAGCAGACCATACCAGTTGTGGAGAAAAGCTGGAGTTGCCACCGAAACTAGATGGGAAGATCGATACCGCAAAGAGGCAGGCGGTTCCTTCAAATTTGCAGTGGAAGCCACAAACAAAATTACCATTGATCAAGATAGGTCTCACCCCTGCTGATTCCCAATAGCTAAAGTCAGTTGAGACGACGTTAGTCCAAGAGGCTGGAGGCTTCACAATTGATGGATAACCAAAAGCTTCACCATTAGTCAGAAGCAATGATGTTACAAACAGAGATAGAAAGGTAGCAGAAAAGAAGACAGTGTTCCTTCGCGCACCGACTACCATCGCTCTTATAGTCGATTGTTCGATCTAATATTGAATAATTGAGCTGCAAGAAAATGTTAAATGAATTCATAAGAAACAAAATACAAAGCCGAAAGCACTAGTACGATAGTCTGTAGATTTCTTTTTTTCCTTAGCACAGAACTTGTGTATACTTCTAATTGTAAGTCAATTAAAGCTATTCCTCAACTTGCTAAAATGCTAATTGCGACAGCAAGTCATTGTTGCTAGATTTTTCCTCGCAATTAACCCCATCTTAAGTTCTTACCATTGGAGAAAATGATGCTTAATGTGGTCAACTACCAGGCACCAAGTCCATCTAAGGACTCCTCTCAACATCTTATGACAGCGGTAGGAGCCTGGAAGAGAATCATTCTCAACAACCAAGTTCTAATTGTCGATTCATGATTAGGATTATATGGTCACATGGCTAGTTTCAAACTTCAAATAACATATATATACATACATGATGAAGTGTAGATAAATAATCGACTCATAATTCAGATTATATGGCCATGTTTGGCTTGAGGGATTCAAATTCTTTGGTCATAATATAAAAATAAAGTAAAATTAAGAAACTTATTTGACAAATATGAAATAAATAAATCTTAAGATTAATAATTTTCTCCTAAATTAAAAAGAAAAAAAGATAAAATAGCTGTTACCATCTATTCCTTTATAAACATGATTATTCTGTTCTTTCCTCATCCTAAATAAAATTATCAACTCAAAATCACACATATCTGTGTCTCAACTATCGGAGGAAATTTTATGATTAGAAAAAAAAAAAAAAAACTCACCCTTGCAAGTTGCAGCAGAGAGACAAAGGCCAAAAGGAAAACGAAAAGCAAGCACTGTAGATGAATGATAGACCCTTGGCCCACCAAAAGCAAGCGCTTTGTTTCCGCAGAATATCCATTGAATTCAGCTCTGCAAACTTATAATTCCAAGTCAATTGAAGCAGTCAAGTCAATGGTTTTCACTTTTCAGGGTTATAAGCAAATCGGAGCATTTCCTAATTTTTTCCTCCAACAACATCTGCATCTTCCAAGTCAGTTCCTCCAGACCCAACATCTTGCGCTTAAAAATAATAAATTTAAGAACGCAAAAAAGGGGATAGTAAGGCTGAGTCCAAATTCATGCTCAGCACAACAGGCCCAAAAGTTCCATTCACAAAACCAAAACTAATAATACGTGCAGCCCAAACCAGATCCTTTATTATAACAAGACCGTGGAAAATATGGGTGGGAACAAGCCCAAAACTGTCAAGTTTATCATCAGGTCATCTAAAATTTCTTACTCTAGCATTTACCTACAAAAATTTTGAGAATTCTAAATTCCAGTTTATTCCAATCATTCAACTTCTTACTTATTTGATTACACATACAAAATCAAATATTTTTATTATATTATATACTCCTTCAGTCTTGAAATAATTAATATTTTTTATTTAAAATATGTTCATGAATAATAGTTGTTTTTAATATATTTTAAGATAAATAAATATTTTTTTATTTTAATTATCCATATCATAAAAATATCTTTATTTTTATTTTTTAATTATAATATAGATAAAAATATAAATTAGTAATTTGAAAATAACATTAGTAAAAAATATCTATTATACGAAGATGAGAGACAAAAAATAATCATTAAATTTTGAATCTAGTTGATTAAATGTTGAAATTAGTTTTGTCGAGTGCTTTACTTTTTTAGCGAATCCTCAAACTTGTAGGAATCCGGTTCAACCCTTTTGCCATCAACAAGGAAACACCACGTCGTTTAGAAGAAAAATCTTTAAGTTAATAATAATAATAATAATAATAATAACAATAATTCCGACACATTATTATAAAAGTGAATTTGTAGATCAGGTAATAGAAAAAAAGATCTACACAATTGTCATTTTGATTACGTGTTATCATTTTATTGTGGTTAAAATCTTTTTTTTAATCTCTTTATTTTAACAAAAGATTTTTT